CTTTTCTTGCCCTTCTAGAGCGAGATTCTGGAAAGCCAAAATACGAGCACAGTCGTCCAGAGCGTCAGGAGGTCGCGACCTCCGATGGCTACACCGCTACGCCTCTCACACCCGGGAACACCTCTGCTCATTTCCCTGTGCCCACCCTCAGTAGCACCATCACTGTCATCGCCCCCACCCACCACGGGAACAACACCACTGAGAGCTGGTCAGAATTCCCACAGGACCACACGCCCTTCGGCAGAGGCGGCCCACCAAGAAAACGCTGTCGTGACTATGATGGTACAGAATTTTTTTACTCTCTAATCAGTGAACCATGTTCATTATAGACTAACCATCTTTCTGTCTTAACAGAGAAAGGCTTCTGTATGCGAGGAGACATGTGCCCATTCGATCACGGAAGTGATCCAGTGGTGGTGGAGGACGTTAATCTTCCCAGCATACTTCCTTTCCAGCCACCGCCTCTTCCTGGAGTGGACGGCCCACCTCCTCCGGGTCTGCCGCCCCCTCACTCACTCCTGACTCCACCAGTGAACCTCAGACCACCTGTGCCCCCACCGGGCACCATGCCACCAAGCCTACCACCTGTAGCGGGTATGAAAAAGCATTTTTCCCAGGTCTAGACTTTTCATTTTAATGTTTAATGTTGAGTGTTTTTTTATAAATGTGCTGTTCTTCTGTCTTTCAGGTCCTCCGCCTCCTCTTCCTGCTCTGCAGCCCTCTGGTATGGACGCTCCACCAAACTCCATCACCAGCTCTGTGCCCACTATAGTGACGTCAGGTGTCCGGCCTCCGATCAGCCAGCCTCCACCACCCCTGTTCACTTCAGGTGAGTGCTTATGAATGAGTCATGTCTAATACAGTAATACAATGATGACTCAACTCAACTCGACTGTCATATCTTGAACCTGGACATTTATGTAATTGGATGGATTTATGTAAATGATGACTAGTTTTGGTGGAAGAAATTTTGATTAGCAATTTACAATTGAATGGTGAAAAAGAAAGCATTAAAGAAGTGTGGAATATGTCGGAACAATGTACAATCATTCAGCAATAATCAATTCTGGGGATTAGGACTTGTATCACCCACAAGGGGTTTATTTTGCAATAATGACTGGATGACTGTGTTATCTCACTTATTACATAACTGCAACATTCAAATGTTTGGGGTCGAAAATTTTTTAAAAAAATAATTTTTAAAAGAAGTCTCTTATACTCACCTAGGCTGCATTTATTTGATCAAAAGTACAGTAAAAAATAATATTGTGAAATATTATTACAATTTAAAATAACTGTTTTCTATTTGAATAAAATTTTTAAATATAATTTATTCCTGTGATGACAAAGGAAAATTTTCAGCATCTTCAGTGTCACATGATCCTTCAGAAATCATTCTAATATGCTGATTTGCTGCTCAAGAAACATTTCTGATTATTATCAATGTTGAAAACGGTTGTTCTGCTTCATATTTTTGTTAAAACCATGTTCATTATTTTAAAGAATCTTTGATGAACAGAAAGTTCAAAAGAACAGCATTTATTTGAAATAGAAATCTTTTGTAACACAATGTGCCCTTGCTGAATAAGAGTATTCTTTTTTTTTTATTAATACGGACACCAAATTTTTAAACGGTAGTGTAAGATTATTCAAAATGTTGATCTTGTGTGATTGTTACTTTTGATCAATTTAATGTGTCCTTGCTGAATAAAAGTATACATTTCTTTCTTTAAAACAAAAAATCATTCTGACCCCAAATTTTTGAATGGTAGTGTACATACCAAATAAAAATGCTACTAATTATTACTTTATAATTATGGAATTACAACTGTTATTGTTTTTGTAATGTATAGATTCATTTGAGCCAGAGGTGTATAATCCTGAAGCCCCCAGCATGACCTCACGACCCATGTACAGACACAGAGTCAACGCTCAGCGGCCCAATCTGATTGGTCTGACCATGGGAGAGGTGGATCTGCCTCCTCGAGGTAACCGTGAGCTCTGGCCTCCCTGCTAAACCAGCTCTTCAGGAATTTGCTTATTTTTCTTCCTGTGGAATTTAAATAAAGCCTAACAGATTTTCTCATCCTTTACTCGCCTCTTTTTGTGTGTGTAAATCTTTCAGAGAAAATGTCTAACAGCAACAGCGCTCGGATAGTTTTAGAGTCAGACTTCAGGAAGAGAGGAGCGGGACTGCATGATGGAGCGATTCCTGCAAAGAAACCCTGGTTTGACAAGTAAGGCAGAGTCATTCAAATATTTGATAAAAACTAACTTATATATATATCTCCTCCGATATTAAGCCATGAAGTAAGAAAAGGGGCAAGTCAAAATTATTTTCTTAGGTAAAATAGATGCATAAAAGATACATATAGTTGAATATGAATGTTGAATCTCTTCAGATGCTTGAGTGCACACAACTAAAGTATCCATTTATTTGATCTTTTCAGTCCGTTTCATTACTAACATTTGACCTCAATGTGCATGTTTTTTTTTCGCTCCACAGACCAAACTTCAACAAACCCAACGACCACGGCTTTCACAGGAAAGTGCCCTACTCTTCAGCAAACACCAAACTGGCCATCCGTCAGATTCCTCCTGAACTCAACAACATCAGCAAACTAAACGAGCACTTCAGCAAGTTTGGCACCATCGTCAACCTCCAGGTACTGGATGGTTAAAAGTCAACACTTGTGATGTGTTGATGTTCATGATCATAAAGATCTTATAAGCACATTTCCTGTGTCTCAGGTGGCATATAATAATTACCCAGATGGGGCGCTGATCCAGTTTGCCTCTCCTGAAGAAGCCAAACGGGCCATGCAGAGCACAGAGGCAGTGCTCAACAACCGCTTCATCAGAGTACACTGGCACAGAGAGGACGCAGTGGAGCACACATACACCACGCCACATCTGGTATCAAATCCTCCAGTAAACATGCTATGATTTAAAACAAACAGCCGGAATTGAACTATTAGAACTGTTAGTGGTCGAGCAGTATTTTATAGGGCCGGGTAAAAAATATAGATATCTCAATATTAATCGATTCTCATTTTTACGGAACGATATCGATTCTTAAATCCCAAGAATCGATTAGTCTAGCCTGTTTTCAGTTAATGGACGGAATGTTGAAGGGTACGGCTTTCACGTGGGGCAGCATTAACTACACAGAGCCGTTGTTCACTGACAAGTTGCGCAAAACCAAGATCATATTTTGCGCATGTTTTGCGCAGCTTGTCAGTTGTCAGCTGACGAGATGCGCATTAAATATCGTGCAATATTTATCGTGCAGCCCTAGTACGGAAAGTCCCATCCAATATATTGCAATAAGCACTTTGGTACTTTTAATATGAAACAAAGTCTCAGATTTCAAATTCTGTCCGTTGTTCAAACAATAAATGTGGTGGATCATCGACCCAGAGCTTTACAGATCAGCGGTTTCACTGAGGCAGATCGAGTTGACCTGCTGCCACACTTCGCAGTGAGTGACTTTAAAGGGCACATTGCATCACACTGTTTATGAAGTATGTCTTTTGAGTCATAACCGCTTTTCTCACTAACCTCCAGCAATACGGGGAGATTGAAGATTGCCAGATGGAGGATTCTAGTCCTAGTGCCATCATTACATACAAAACCCGTGCAGAGGCTGAACAGGTCTTAACATATTCCCATAAACATCAGTAGACACATACATGCACGCCTTCATGCAGAGTCTAAACTTCAGCTCTGTTTCTCAGGCGGCCATCCACGGCGTTCGGTTAAATAACCAGGAGCTGCGTTTGGCCTGGCACAAGCCCACGGCTTCCCTCAACACAACAGACCTGGATGAGGTTGAACCTGAGGATGAGGAGGTACGCCCTTCATCAGTAGGCGCGTTTCCATTACAGATTTGCACAAAACTTTGGCGATATTTTATAATTGTCGATAAAAATGTATTGCGAAATGATGGTGTTTCCATTAACCGATGTAATGCGACTAAAACGTAATTTTTTCCTCTCGCGATAAGTCATGGCAACGGATTTTGACGGATTTTGGCTACACGACTGAGACTTATGCATGTCTTCAGCTGCTGATATCTAAGCTGGAGAAGAACAAGTCCATGAAGACGGAGGATAAGGCTCAGATCATGCTGACCCTCACCACCCTCACCAACAGCATCACCAGACTACAGGAGCAGATGAAAGGACTGTCCAGTGCTAATGCCCTCAGGACCACACTCAAGAGCAAAGCTCAGGTACACACACGGTCCCAAAGCACCATAATCAACAAATGGATTTTTCTGCATATGTATATCCTGATGCATCTCTGTTTTTAGGCTCAAAAGGAGCTCCTGGACACAGAGTTGGACCTTTATAAGAAAATGCAAGCAGGAGAGGACACTGCTGAACTCAAGATCAAATACACTCAGCTGCAGTTAGAGGTATTTCACAAAGAGACAAAAAGCTCTGTTTTTGAGCTCGTTTGTGGTTGTAATTGATTTCTTATAGCTAGAAATTGACATGTTTATATTTTTCCAAATGTAGACAATAGTGTGTGTAGACAATAGTATGTAGTGCCACTCAGTCTTTCCACTGAGTGGCACTACAGTGCTACTTAAGCTTCATAAGCGTATATTAGATCTTTTCTTTTCATTCAGGCTGCCAAAAGGGGGCTTCTGACCCCAGGACGTGGGAGGGGGGCCCACGGCAGGGGTCGGGGGGCCCTGAGGAGCCGAGGCCGAGGGATTCGAGGACGCGGGAGAGGAGTCCCAACTCACGCTGTGGTGGATCATCGACCCAGAGCTTTACAGATCAGCGGTTTCACTGAGGCAGATCGAGTCGATCTGCTGCCACACTTCGCAGTGAGTGACTTTAAAGGGCACATTGCATCACACTGTTTATGAAGTATGTCTTTTGAGTCATAACCGCTTTTCTCACTAACCTCCAGCAATACGGGGAGATTGAAGATTGCCAGATGGAGGATTCTAGTCCTAGTGCCATCATTACATACAAAACCCGTGCAGAGGCTGAACAGGTCTTAACATATTCCCATAAACATCTGTAGACACATACATGCACGCCTTCATGCAGAGTCTAAACTTCAGCTCTGTTTCTCAGGCGGCCATCCACGGCGTTCGGTTAAATAACCAGGAGCTGCGTTTGGCCTGGCACAAGCCCACGGCTTCCCTCAACACAACAGACCTGGATGAGGTTGAACCTGAGGATGAGGAGGTACGCCCTTCATCAGTAGGCGCGTTTCCATTACAGATTTGCACAAAACTTTGGCGATATTTTATAAATGTCGATAAAAATGTATTGCGAAATGATGGTGTTTCCATTAACCGATGTAATGCGACTAAAACTTAATTTTTTCCTCTCGCGATAAGTCATGGCAGCGGATTTTGGCTACACAAAATTTAACATTTTTATTCATCAAGGATGCATTAACTTGATCAAAAGGGACAGTAAAGACATTTGTTTCAAAAGATTTGTAGTTCAAAAAAATGCTGTTTTGAACTTTCTATTCATCAAATAATCTTGAAACAAATGATACGAGTTTTTTTTTTAAAGATTAGCATATTTTCAATGATAATGATAATGAGATATATTTTTTGAGCAGCAAATCAGCATATTATAATGATTTCTGAAGGATCATGTGACAGAAGATTGGAGTAATGATGCTGAAAATTCAGCTTTGATCACAGGAATAAATTACACTTTTATATATATAAGTGGAATAAAGTTATTTTAAATTGTAATAATATTTCATAATATTTTTGCTGTATTTTTAAATGCAGCTTTGGTGAACATAAGAGACAAAAACAGGAAAAAAAACTAAACTTTTGAACAGTGGTGTATATATTATATAATATATATATATATATACACTATTTATATATATATATATATATATATATAAACAGTCCTGCAGTAATACATATTTTGGTTGTCCAGAGGCTGAAATATTTAACAAATTAACATCTTATTTTCTTTTTATTTGAAACTTAATTTACACAACCCAAAAATATGATGACAAATGAAGTCATCAGTGTATGTACACAGCTTAATGCACCACTTAAGTTAAAATAACTTAAAATGAATCTCAGTCATTTTGCATTATCACAGGTCTTACTCTAAATTCTATTTGAATGAGCCACAAACTTACATAATAACCAACTGATGCACACCTGTGACAGCACAACAGTAGAATTAATTTTCCTATTGTGGAATGTTGTGATGTTGCCTAGCAACTTTGCATTGTACCTTAGAACATACCTTAATAAATGTAGGACACGTCCCACTCTGTATTACTCTGTTTCTTCCTGGTTCTTGTGTGTAAGTAACATAAACCAGTCATGCTCACATGTAGCTGAGTGAATGTACCTTGGTATAATTGTGCATTCATTTCGTTCTAAGTGTGTCTGTTTTCTGATTGGCTGCAGTTTCCAGATGATTCGCTCTTGGATGATTCCCTGCTGCAGGATGATGACGAAGAGGAAGAAGATAATGAGTCGCGCTCATGGCGCAGATGAAGATGAAGTCGTGTGTCCAGTCCTGCTGCACTGCACCACTCGAGCGCATCGGATCTTGAGTTCTGTGTTTTTGAAATGGTTGTTTTTAATAATATTGATTTACATTTCATTGGCTTTTTTATTTTACTTATCAAACCTGAGCAGCAAATAGAAAACGTTACTCAAAAGGCTGTGAATTTCAATTATTGAGATGTAGAATAACATGAATGATTTGGTTTCTCGCCGTCATCGTTTTGTTTTGTATCGTGTCAAAACATTGACTAACTTGGCGGCTGCATTGTTTTTTTGTTTTTATGGTCAGTATGTTGACCCAAATTTCTTTTCAACAGTTCTGAAAATGTTACATTTTGAGACAAATATTGGAAATATTGCAAATGTTTCAATTTCAAAGACAACAGTAGAGCATTGTTATAAATAAGTTGTATGCTTTCCTTAGTATAATCAGCCTGATGAGGATGTAGCTCTTTGTGTACATATTTTATGTATCAATTTTAATGGTTTGTATGAATTCTTTGCTTCTGGATTCATCTCCTGGGTTTAATTTTGAAATGTAAAAAAATAAAGAATTGAAATGGTCTAGAAAAAATATCAGCTGCAAAAAAAAAGAAAAAAAATATTGAGAGCTCTGCTGCAAAAGCAGCATTGAGAAAAAAAGAGAAAAAAAAATCTGAACAGCTGAATAAAGACCATTTCAACCCCCCACCCCCCCAATCCTCACAAAAAGAGCAAATTTCCTAAATTCATCATGCACCACAGTACCGGTAAGTAAGTATGGAGCACAAACAGCATAAAATGAGGTAAGCAAAGTGTTATTTTATGTTATTTGACTTTTCAGGTGACTAACTGTAACTGTTGTTCATTTCTGTCCATTAGGTCATGTGTTGATGATGCAATAGCAATAAAATGATTACGGATGAAACTTGAACTACATCGGATCACCAAATGTTACAAATCGGTATGGTCTTCGTTCACATTCTTGATGGCCTTTTTTTTTTTTTAGTTGTTTGGACATTTTCATTGTCAACTTATGATGAAACTGCCCACCTCTTTTCCCGCAGGACACTAAAATCTGTTTTTACAATATTTGTTGACCCTTGACGCCATCGCACCATCCTGACGACTTGCATCCAGCCCCCCTACAACCTCTGAGCATCACATTTGCATAGTGGAGAACGAATTACCCAATCAGAGCTGTAGCATTCGGTGATGTGCCTCTCACCTTGGTGCCTGTCGTGGAAGATCAGCTAATTGTGAAGAATTCGATTTGCTCTTGGAGTGTGCCATGAAGCTCGACTTTACCCCCACCAACTAAACCTCGCCCGGCCCAGCAAGGGGGCCCTTAAGTGGACGCTCGCTCCCTCCTACACGGCCTCATGCTGCACTCCTCTCCGCCGGTCGCTGGGACCTGAGCTCTCACCATCGGACAGGCCTAAAGTGAGTGTGTGTGTCCCATTCCTCCCCTAGTTAAAATTTGACCTTTGACCTCTCCCCCGGTGTAATATAACATTTTAATAAGCTTTGTTGGGTCAATTCGTGTGTCGTTACTATGGAGATTGTGACGGTGTGTGAGGGATGTAAATTGCGGTTCTTAAATAGGGCTATTTAATCTGAGGGACCCCTGCAGCCCGACTACTCCGTAATGAAGTGATGTATTTGTTAAACTCAGACTCATCGTGAGCTGCGAGTCCATGAGGCCAATGCATTTCCGGCGGAATAAACTGTGTAACGCGTTTACCGCAGAAAAAGTGGGCTAACTAGTTTAGAGTGTGTCGGAGAGCCTCAGCTAACGCGTTTACATTGGCCCAGTCATTTGTAAAGACTCTTTAATCTGTAATTTGTGTCAGTAAAATAAATGGGATTATTTCTTAACCGGTGAAGTGAATGATGCTTGACTTGAAAAATAAGGTGTGAAGTTAGCATCAAGACTTTTATTGTCATTTTTTTTTTTCCTGATTTAAGCCATTAATGTATGCAAAATTATAATTCGTCCTGCCCATATTAATTTACATGTAATCCACATTCAGTTCTGATCAAATGGAGTCTATTTTATTTGTTTCATCAAAAGGATCTCCAAATGCTCGTCTGCGACGGGTGACTGTGGCCTCCTCCTGCCCAGCGTTTCTCGTAGCCTCCTGCTAGTGCTGAGAATGAGTCTTTAATATTTTATGTGATCACGGGCCTCTATAAGCAAATTTCAGTCCCCGGCAAGTTCAGCCAAAACATGATTAATTTAGTGTTTATCCCGACATCCTTTAAAAAAACAAAACCCCCTCAGCCAGACGTGCAGAGCTCAGTTTGAGACTAAATCTCTAACTCTACATCATAATACAGGCCTGGGGAGGAATCTTTGGCTGGGTCACATTTTCTTATTTGGATATCTGAGAAAGAGGAAGACTGAGGAGCTTTGAACTGGGTTTCATACCACTGTGTGGTGGTCAAGAAAGCAGAAGAATTAATTTTTTTATTTTACATTTGGTTTCATTTTTGTTTTGTTTTGGTAAAACGATCCAGTAAAGTAAGATGAATGGTGGTCTTAGCTGCCATATACAGATGTGACATCATTTACTTGACAGATTTGAAAGTTTTATCAGTTTTAAATTATATAGATTACCTGAAGTATAACCAAGAATACTTGATATTCCTAAGCTTTTAAAGAGTTTGTTCACCCAACGTCATCAGGTACTCACGCTCATGCCGTTCCAAACCCATCAGATTTTCATTGATCTTCCAAAAACAAATGAAGATATTTTTAATGAAACCTGAGAGATTTCCGTTGCACCATAACTTTGACACTTCAACAAGTTCTTAAAGAGATTGTAAAAGAAACCCAGTGAATTTGGAGCAACATAAGGGTGAGTAATTGATGAGAGAATGTTCATCTTTGGGTGACATGTGCCTTTAAATGATTACGAAACCGAGGAAATGTTCTGAATGTTAAAGCTGTGGTCACATTGTGGACTTTGAGCAGGCAAAATTTTGACTGTCACACTCGAGGGTTTCTGTTTAGCCTATAATTACACTGTTCTGCATCTTGAAAAAAAAAAAATTTAACTGTTTCACAAAAAAGGCCAAATATTATAATTTGATGCTGTTTTCAAAAATATCAATAGAAACTTTTGTTTTTTTTTTTCTTCATGAGAATGAAGATTTTTCAAATTATTTATGTATCAGCTTTAATGCACTTACAACAAAGCAGTCAAATGTCAAAAGTTTTGGTTTTAACGACAAAATTAAACATTCAAAATGTATCTTTTAATTCATAATCTGCAAAGGAGTGGAAAAAGTGGAAATCAGGATTGGACATAAAATAATTCATGCATGTGAGAATGGGCTGAGAATTGAACAAATGTGACCCTGGAGCACAAAACCAGTCTTAAGTCACTTGGGTATATTTGTAGCAATAGCCAAAAATACACTAAACCATACATCAATGGAAAGCTTATTTATTCAATTTCGAAAAATTTACTCTTTTGTCTGGTTTTGTTGTCCAGGGTCACAAATCGTTGTAATCTGGCTCAGAGAAAGATATGAATCTTGTGTCACTTTTCCTGATGACTAAGGGAAAAATACAAGACCTTTCACCTCACAAATGATTGCCAAAAGCAAAAATGTTACAAAATGCATCATATTTTGTGAGAAAGTCTAACATGCTAGAGCAAAACATGCACTATTTTTGGAATCAGCAAACCGAAATCGATAAGAAACAAGTACTGGATTTCATTCAGCAAATATGATGCAGGGCGGTGTAATAAGTCACAAATGATTTCCTTTCACAATCTATGATTGCATTCAAAATCTGTAATATTAATTATGTCCAAGACAATATTCAAAGGCCCTCCTATCTAAGCTCATAATGTTCCTCTGATACTTGTAATAAAAATAAAAGAATAATAATAATAATGTTGTGCATCTTTATTTTTAGTGTTTTATCAGTTTAAATAACATTAATACATTACATTTAAATACATTTAATAATTTAAGTTTAGTAAATTTATTTTGATTTGATTTTATTGAGGCACCTCTAAATGTTTGCTGAGGCCGCTTGTTGAGAACTGCAGTTGTACTTTGATGAATTTAGTAGATGAATTCATTGCAATTTTACTGAAGAGCGGAAGGATGAGAGATTTCAATACAGAGCTTGTAATGACCGATTACTCTAGTTGTTTTTTCTCTCTCTCTCTGGGTGAGTTGTCAAGAGTCGCTCCATCTGTCTCACTCTGCGGCGTGGGTAAAGGTGCTGACAGAAGCTTTGGCTGTTTGAACTTTACAGTGGCCTTGTCTTGCAGACAACTGCCCTCAGCTGAACCACAAATCCCAGATTCCCCAGCAACACCGCAAAATTAGCTCCATAAATCAGAGGGGCTTCTGGGAATAGGCCCTGTGTTGCCAGGGGCAATGGATCATCCCAGATACTGGTGTCAGGGGTGCGTGAATCTCGGTGCCACAGGACGTGAGACCGCGGGCAGATCCAGCCATCACTCGTGCTAAAAATACTCCAGTGAAGTCAGTGAGAAACACACGAGCAGGAGCTGCCAGAAGTGTCTGTCGGTGTAAATGTTCACACATGCGTACACGCAAAGCCCTCTCTCTATTTTTATTTGTATTGGCTGGTGCATGGTGTAGTTTTGCATATGACTTATTAAAGATATTCAGGAGATTTTGAACGGTTATAGTCAATATTATGACTTTGCAGTAGATTGAGACTGTTTTAATTGTTGTTGTTTTTTTTCTAGTTCTGTGACTGATCACTGGATGGCAGCGTGCTGCAAATATATATTTACCATTTATTTTGAACAAGCGTGTAATATGATGACATATTAGCCAGAATATTTTGTCAGTTACTTTCTTGCTCATTGCATAATTCTCTGTGATACAATTAATTATTATTGCATTATTTTACAGTGTAATATAAAATAGCACTAAACGTTTTTAACTTTGGAGTTGATCTGACTTCTTTCTTCTACTTTTATCCAACTCCTTGATATTATTTTCATATAATGATAAAGTTGTTTCATTACCACATGTGCAGTATTAAAAATAAAGCTTCCAAAAGATGGTTTTCGCAGTGATGCAACAGAAGAAAAACAATTTTTTATTCCCCAAAGAACCTTTTAGTAAACTATTCTTAAAAAGTAGCATTTTTTCTTGGTGTGAAGAGCATTTTAATAATGATGTAATGATAAAATAACCATTTTCCACTATAAAGAACCTTTTGTGTAATGGAAAGTTTCCAAGGTTGTTATAGTTTATATATATATATATATATATATACTGGAAAAAAAAATTCATTCATCCAATTGGCTCAAGTTAAAAAATATAGAAGTGAATCATTACCCTAAATTTTTTTAATTAATGAATGAAACAGTTTTTTCAGTGTACTATACTATATACACTTTGTTGATTGTCTCTGTGTACTTCACTTTTAAAGCATATGTGTTGTGAGGTTAATGTAAACCCAGTGATGTACTGACATTCTGATTTGCACAGATGTGATGTGACAGGCTGTAACGAAGGTTAAAGATGTCAGTTTAATTATCACTTTAATTAAGGTCACATTACTTTACAAACACATCTTGGAGCCAAGATGGCAGATTAGAATGATTTCAAGTCATTTAGGTTCCTAATGTTAACATGCTTAAAAATGAAGTTTCTTTATTGGCATCAGTGGTTCAATGAA